CACAGTAAATTATCGATGCCAGGTCCATAAAGGATGTTGTCTATCATTCATGATGTCTAAAGCATCTTTTTGCTCCTGCCTAAGACGAATCCTCATTCATGAGCACTTGATCTACTTCTGATTCCTATGTCTTGCATGTAGGTTAGTAAAGCAAAAAAACATGCCAGGCCAATGCTACACTAAATTATATACAGTACAGATATAAACACGTTTGTACTGGTGTTAAAATTTCTATAAAGAAAGATAGGATGTAAGGTTAGGGATCATATAGTGAGCGAAACAGCTGCCAGGCAAGGGCGGCTATGAGACAAATTTTCGGTGGGGGCCATTGCCTTTAGCCATTCTCTTTATAGCAAACTTTTTGGATAAAAGGCTTATAAGTCGCAAAAATTTCATCTCCCCTGGAACCGCCCTCGCTTTCAGGTAACAATAGCGCCTTCGGACCGGACAGGTATTTTCTGATGCACTAGGTTACTCAAACCGCTGTATCTTCGTTAGTTTTGCTCCGATTCATCTCAAATTTTCACACAATATTCTTGAAAGGTTTGTTATTCACAAAATCAAATATAAAAAAATTCAAAAAAAAGTTTAAAAACTTTACTCCCTCCTTAACAACTCTTTTATCTGTTAAAAGTAATGTATATATTTTTTTAAATTTTGGTGTTATCTGCATCGACTGCTAAGGCCATTAGCCTCGTGTTCTGTGTAGGCGTTGTTTCTGTTTCCCAGCGCCACTTTAGTAACAGCACTGTTAATTAGAACCCAACAGTGAATGGTCGAGTGGGAATATATATATATATATATATATATTTTTTTTTTTTTTCGAACTAAATAAATCATTTTTCTTGCTTTCGCGCGTGGCTTTGATCTGTCGCACTCTTTGATACACGTTGCAAAAGATTTTCTAAAAAGTTTGCCAATGTCTATAGATGAGAAAAAAATGAATGTGACACGAGATCAAGCTGATTGTGCGTTGTGACACATGAAAGACGAACATGTGTCACTACTTCAAAATTTGGAGACATTTGTAAAAAACGAAACGTTTTCTTTAAAAAATATCATAAAATCTTTTATTTTTTGCTAAAGCCACCAGACAATAAATCCAGAGCAAAATAAGATTTGTAAATTTATTTGCAAGAAAAAAGTTTTTATATGTGGACTTTTTATTGATTCCAAATTTGATTATGTTGCTGCCAGTCTGGGTGGAATTTAAAACAAAAAACAAAACTCTATGATATAGTTAAAATGCCCATATGGAGCTAGAGTTCCGACTGTCGAAGAAGGAATATGCAGTAGAGAAATAACTTTTTGAGAAAAGGACAATACCATTAAGGAAAACCACAAATGGTATTTTCAAATTCAGGGCTAGCTGCACATTACACAAAGAATCACTTTGCTGACTTGGTACATAAATAACTATTATTAAATGATCATCATTATACCAATTTTAACCATTTGGGCATAAACTAGTCGACAGACAATACAGGGAAATAAAAAGATAAAACTATACATCGCATTAAATTTATAAATATAGGGCAACTGAAGATTCTCTAATTAAAAATAGGAAGCATATAAGTATAATTTCACTAAATTCAACATTTTTGGTGTCATAAGATGCACGTATTGGCAAAACAATCAGTTAAATAAACGTTGACAGTGGCGTACGGCATGGATAAGTAACAACTTCATCACCTCTAAATTTTACGCCACTATCCAAAAACTGATTTGGACCAAACTTTTACATTTTTTTTGTTTTTTAAATAAAACATATTGGTTTATTGGTTTTTAAGATATTCACACATAACGATGAATATTCTTCATTTGATTGTAATTTTTTATTTGGTTTTTTTTTTTATAAAAATATACTGAACAAATATTTTATAAGATACACCTATCTGCAAAAATTCAGTTAAAGAAACTTTCGACAGTGGCAGTAACACTTATTCCTTCTAAATTTTTGAAAAACTTATTTGGACTATAATTTTGATTTTGTTGTTTTTTAAATAATTAATGTACTCGTATTGGGAATTTAAAAAAAAATCCAAAATTAAAAAATAAATTAAAATGAAGAATGTCCACCTTTGAGTGTGAATATCTCGAAAACCAATCACTTTATGAGTTCTCAACAAGAGTACATGATTTATTTAAAAAACATCAAATAATTTTAAAAGTAGAGTTCAAATAAGTTTTTGGCCAGTGGCATAAAATTTAGAGGGGATGAAGGTGTTACTTATTCCTGCCATACACCACTGGCAAAGTTTATTTAACTGACTGTTTTAATGATATGGTATCTTATGACACCAAATATATTTACCGAATTTAGTAAAATTATACTGAAAAATAAAAAAATTATAGCCATTAATCATTTTTGAATTTTCAACTTTAAAACCCTGTATTTTGAAAAACCAGTAATATTTTAACTAAGCATGTTTCGTTTAATCGTCTCATTTTTAATCAGAGAATCTTCAGCTGATCTGTGTCCCATTGTTAATGAGACACCTTGTATATTTTTTAGTTGTTTAAATATACAAGGATGTTTTAATATGATTGGGGACCGGATGGTGTAATATTGGTTTTTATAATGTGATTCTTGAAAAATATCAAATTTATATATATCTTTAAATCATTAGGATATGTTATAAAATATAAAATGTAAACATTTCATCAAAACTAAAGAAAACTTTGAAGCTTTGAAAATTTTTTTGGCGTCTACCGGCGTGGGTACCTTGTGTTCCTATTAACATATCTCTTACTGGTCATTACTTTTGAATACATTACCATAAAAAGAGTGTAAATTAATTCCAAAAAGCATTTTCTCTTTGGAACATCTTTCTAAATGCAGATTTATTTTTGTCAATAAACATCAACATCTATTTGTTTAAATACATACATAATACATTAATATTTGTAAGGCATAGTAGACTTCATTCTCTACTTGAAAGAAGTCTTATTGAAACAATATGCAAAAATTTTAATGAGCAATTCACTTAATGATTAATGCCAAAGTAAAGAACATGCATAAAGCATAAAACCTGCAGATGAACCAAAAAATTACAGGGTAGCACATGTTAACTGTTGTGCAAAAATATTTATGCCTATAAAGGTTTTGAAACCTCATTGATATGATAAAAAATATATTAAGTGATTCATAAAAAGAAAAGTCGAAGTTGACTGGACTATGTTTAGTATGAAAAAATAAATTACAGGGAAGTTTTTTATTGGTGGGATTTGTCAGACAGTAAAAATTTTGGTGATATATATTGAAAATATCGAAAAATACAGGAGATTTAAATAAGATTATTAACAGAAGGCATTTGTAACAAAATATGATTTGTTGAAGGAGAATATAGATTTTAAAAAGGTAAATATCAAAATAATTTGTTATACAATCCCATATTATACTGGATGTAGCATTGAGATTAAATTTAATTAGGACTGTGGGCCATGTGGCCTCCCCCACCTCGACCTTTTCAGATCTATTGTGAATATCCTTGAAACGTTGTTTTTGTCTAATTCGGTCTTTTGTAGACAACTCCATAAACTGGGAAGTAGTTCTCCGGTATAGTTAGTTGCGCTTGGTTTTTCTTCTCCAAGTGTAAGGAATCTCAGTCTTGCTAGACCATCGCAGTAGCACAATACGTGTACTGCCGTTTCCTCCTCTTCCTGACAGAATAGGCACAAGGTCTCTTCTGTCAGACTGATATTATACATATGTTTGTTAAGCAAACAGTGCCCTGTTAATAGACCTACTAGTACTCTACTATTTTTTCCTATTAAGGCTTAGTAGATGCTCGGTAAGTTTAGACGATGGTCCTTTTAAGAACTCTTTGGCCTGTCTCTGTCCTGAAGAGGTTTTCCACCACTCCTGAGATTTTTTAAACATCCACTGCTTTGTGTATGTTCTGATAGTTGTTTTTGTTACACCACAGAAGGGTTCTGGGCCAATAAGAGCATTTGAGGCTCCTTCTCGGGCTAGTGTTATCATCGGCCTTATGATGTAGCATTTAGTAAGGAACACGAAAATTTGGATATTATAAATAAATAGCTGGATTAGAAAAGGATAAAAAATTGATAATATTTTGCCAAACCCAGATTGTTATTGCAAGGTAATTATATATTTTTATAATATTAAAATTAAAAAAGAGTTGTGATAAGTCTAAACATAAAGGGATTAGTACAGGAAAATTCAAGAATATATATTTTTTTAAGATTTAATATTTTTCGTTTGTCCGGGCTTATCATAATTATTGATAGTGCACATAAAATGTGAACCCAAGCTATGAAAGTAAATTATACATTTTATTTATGGTTACATATTTCATCTTTCTAAGCTATAAAATTGTACAAATTACTAAAAATCGGCTCCCTGGATACCAGTTTGGGTTCAGAAATAATTGATCTACACTACATCCCCTCACAATTCTACAGAACAACATAGCAGCTACTAAATTAAATGGAGGAAGGATAGCTCCAGTATTTCTGGATATTAATAACGCATTTGACAGGGTTTAGTACAAAGACCTTTTGTATAAGCTACATGAATTTAATTGTCTCACATATTTAATCCAACTTGCAATACTCTACTAAACGAAAGAAAACTGACAGTAAAAGTTTTTTATCTGTTTTGGGTGCAAATTATGAGAGGGCAGTTGATATAATGTCTAATAAACTGAAAGGACTCAAGTTTAAAAAATTAAAATTAAATGCAACAAAAACATAAACATAGAAAAAAACGAAAATACAAATACTGTTCCTAAAGTGTTTTTGAAAAAACATGCATGTCAAGTAGTTTCAACGTTAAAAGGGTTTTATTGTTTTTCTCAGAAGGCTGATTTTTTGGACATGTGTGGTTTTCGAACTCACCAATTCAATTATTAAAAAGAAAGGGAGCAAAATATCCAGAAAATCTGAACATTTAAACAATTTATCAAATAACCCTAAGCGCCGACAGACATTTTAACATTTGATTATTTATCATAAACTAAATGCAGGATACTTACCGACAGATCATTCTGGATATCATTACACACGTAGTTCTGGGACACAGCGACAGTGTTCACATTATCGTTAATATTATTATTTAATACAGAATTTTTAGCCGAAATGGCCTTATTGCCCGGCGATACGGTCCTCGCTCTTCCACTACTAATAGACGCGTTTCGAACATTAGTCTTCTCCACCGTCAATCCCTTGTTGTTATTGCTAGTAATGGCCGGAAAACTTTTCACGTTATTAACGTCCACTGGTAAAGAAAAGAAACCTTTCGTTGCAGGTCCATCCGTGGGCATCGCGGGAAATGACTTAGTATCGTTCACGTCAGGGGGAAATTGTTTCAAGTTGGTGGTGGTTTCATTATGCGGTGATATTATAGGGAAATTTGGTGATTGTATGTGAGCATCGATGGGTGGACTTTTAAGATTATAAATTTCGACGGGGATCGCGGGGAAACTTCTCGTATCGTTCACGTCGGGCGGAGAAACACTTTTGGGAGAAACGTCAGTAGGCATCGCAGGAAAATTCTTGACACTATGCAAATCCGGAGGAGATTTTACATGATTTAAATTATTGTTATTTGAAGTAAGAATGGAGATGGATTTGTCCTTTTTGAAATTTGAATCAGTCTCGAGTTTAGGCGATTTGTCTTTTTTTGGCACTTTTTCGATTTTTTCCGGCGAGGTTTTCTTTTCCTTCGCTTTCTCGGCGTTCTTAGCAATATCTGCGTACGAAATCGGCACGTTGATGCCCTCTATGGGGAGCGAATGTACAGATTCGACGTCCGACGAATCGGATTTTTCACTATGAGGCACTGATTTTCCCCGAAAGTCCGGAGACGGCGCACGATTCGAGTGTTGCTTAGCGGCCTGAGATTCCGCTGTTGACATTTGACGTCGGCCGCTGCTGCTCACGCTGTTCCGCCGTTTCTTGCTTTTCTTTTTCGTTTTGCTCACCACCCAATTCTCGGCCGCTTCCAAGTTTTCCGTTGAAGCGTTACTCGACAGTATTTGGAAAGGTGGAGGCTGAAAAAATTACCTTCTACAGATCTTCGACTAAAGTGATATTATATTCGAGATGAACCATGAATGACAACGATTTACCTAACCGTTACCATCGTGATATAGAGGCCTGAACTATTTGACAGATACATCAGTGTGCTGTAACACAAGCAGATCATCAGTTTTGTTTATCCCTGTATTTATCTTATAAATTTGCGCTTTTCTATTCGATCAAACCATATTAAAAACTTCATTGTCTGCATTAGGTATCGTACAATGTTTGTGAAACGATTAAAGTAATTTTTAACTCTTTTCATAGGTGTAAATTTATAATGAAAACAAATCTGCTTACACTAAACATAATCTAAAAATTTGCAGCTTTAAATGTGCATTCGCGGTTTTCTGTTTGATACAATTGAAGATCCAGAAGCTCTAATTGGAGATAATCATCTAATGAACTGTTCAATATTTGTACTGTTAAGTGCTGAAAGCCACTTCCACTAGACAAAATAAAATCAGCTGTTGGATTTGAATAAATGTACTGTTTCAAATAAAAGAAAACTTTTATCTATTATCTTGTTTGAATGGATTATTTATACATTAGAAATAATTGGTTTGAATCAAAAAAATTCAAAACAATAAATTGTATTTCTTATAGAACATTTTAACGTTATTTTAATTGCAACTTGTTAGAACTGAAAAAAAATCATGCATCAAAAAATAATTCAATAGTAAAAATAGCTTCAGCACTTTCAAAAAAAGGTCTTTATCCATCCAACTTAGAAAGCCAGAGTTTATGAATAAGGCATTCAGGTCTATAAAAAATTGCTACCGATTTGAATGATATTTCTGATTGTGTTTTTAATAACTATTTCAATGAACGTCCTTAGCAAACAATCCAAATATTTTAAATTTACCACATTTGCAATGAATTGTAGTGATAGCCTTTGTTTACGAACTTACACGGTCGATCTACTCTTGAAGGTTATGGCCTCTATATCACGATGGTCACGACCTAACATTATAAGGTCATATCGAAATGATTTAAAGATTCAATCGATAGTGTGAATGAGCCAAATTGTATATCCTTACCTCTACATTTCCCCAAGACCGCCTCTCCTTCGGTCTATCCGACTGACTCTTATTCCCCCTAAGTACCACTTTACTTTCCCTGTCTTCCTCGTTGGAAGCGACAAAGGCGAACTCATCTAGTTTAGCAGTAGGGATCTCGCCCAGCGAGTTCGACTTTTTCATCTCCGATCTGGACTCCTTGCCCTTCAAAATATTTATTGTTTACTCCCTTTTTAATATTTTAGATAAGTGGTTGAAAAGGAAAGGTATTATGTGTTCAAGCAGCTAAGGCAGTAACAAGGAGTGGTAGCAGTTTAAAAAAGGATTTATAGGTGGAGAATAAAACAAAATTTAGGAAAAATTACCTTTGAGGAATGGGCACGTTGTTTCTTCCCAGCACTACTGTAACTGCTGCCTCCTCGGCCCGAGTCTTCCGATGCATGCTGCTTGTGAAGCTGCTTCGATTTGTGGATATTCGATTTGGTGGGTCTTCCTCCGGTATTGTCATCTTTGTCTCCCATGACATATTCAAAGAGTTTATCAACATCGTTTATTATGTCACTGCGATGGCCTTCGACCTGAAAAATATTTCACATGAGTCATTTCTTAATATTTTCCCGCGCAACTCTTAAAAATAACAAAAACCAGCAAGTACAATATATCAAAATTGATCTGCTAGGAAAGAAAATACAATATTGGTTTAAGCTGTATACTTACACTTTCAGCTGTGAGGACCACAACATTTTTATCAGTCTGAATCTTCTTTTTCTTAGTTTTTTGGTTTGGGTTTTGGTGAAGATTGCCATTTTCATCAACTTTCTGTAAGAACAAAATGAGAAATGTATTCAAATATGTTATGCATCCATAATTAACTAATAATTATAGAGCGATATTCACTTTAAAAAAACTATTTTTCTATTTTCAAAAATTAAGAAGTTTAAAATGTTATATGGAAACAAAAAGTATTATCCCTTTAAATGTGTTCCAATCAGGGGCGGGTTTCTCCATTGGTTCATTTGTGCAGTGAACACCCAGTTACATTTCATAAAAACATATTTTAAAATAATTAACATAAATATATAAATTCAATTTCAATAATTTTGTTTTCATACATGTTAATCTCTATTTTTCCGTGTGAGCCCGAGGAATGAGATGCTTTCGCGAAAGCCTCTAGCGAAAAAGAGAGGTCCACACGTTAACAGATCCGAGAAATGAACAATGACCTGCTTAAAATCACTAAAAACACCTTATTTTGCGCAGACGGTACTAATAGTATCTGCATTTTTGCATTACCCTTTTACGACATATATCAAACTCGAGCTAGTCAGTTTTGGTGAGAATAAATGCAATTTCATTAAAATCGTGATTCAAATGATATGAACATTTCCATTCCGTCAATCTTCAAATATAATAATACTTTATTACTTCCAAAACATTTAAGTTTACAGCAAGGGTTTGGGTTTTACAAAGTATATAAATTTATAAACCTATGTAATAGTAGAGCTATATAAAAATAAAAACAAAACATAATATATAAGTATAACTAAATAATTTTCCAATAATGCGAAAATCCTCTTACTCATTACAAACTTTCTAGAATGTATACAGATGGATAACAATGATTTATTCAGGAGACAAAAATCAACAACAAAAAGAATCTATTCACTTAAAATAAATGCCCTAAGTTTTAATATATTCCATATATAACTCGCTATTATTTTGGCATTGTCAGTTGTCAATTTGTCCAGAGCAGAAATTAATGAATCTATGTTCCGTAAAAAAGGAAATTGTGGTTTCATAACGGTATATATTGGGCAATCAAAAAGCAAGTGGTTAAGAGTTTCATATTCATTCATGTTACATACAGTGCATAATTCATCAGGACTAATAGAATAGTAGCTGCTGTTTAGTGTAAAATAAAGTTTAAAACCGTTAAGACATTCGAAGTTGAGCAATAGTGCGTGTGACCTGGATTGGTAACTTAAGCAATAAGTAGAATTTTACATCTCTAGTCATATCAAAACCAGTATACAATGACATAAAAGTGCAACGCTGAGCTTTGTCAATGTCTGCTTCTAGTAACTTGTTATAGTAACATTTTAATAACATCTTCTTGTTTGACTTCAGAGTAACCGTGTCTAATTTTCCCATATATTTAAACCTTCAGTTAATTCGAAAAACTTACGTAGTTGGCTAGCCCAATTAAAACGTACATCAGAGCAATTTGTTAATTTTTTTTAAGCGATCAAAACCAAGTTTAGGGTAACGATTGCTATTCATTGCTAGTATTTTGTATAACCAGTTCAGAGCGAATTTAAAGATATTATAGGATAACTTTACTCTACCTGCCTCTAATCTGATTATGCAATCAGGAGTATTTGTTGGTAGTAAAAGTATCCTTTTCAAAAAGTTTAACTGAACTCTTTCAAGCCGCTCCATGTATCTTAATCCCCATGCTGCAACGCAATTAAACATTACACTAAGGGCCAAAGACTCAAAAAGCTTAATTCTAGGATGCCATGTATCAATTCTGGCTTTGGACATAATGGGGATGACTGCTCCAACAGCTTGTTTTGCTTTATTTTACGTATTAATGGCCATCTGATTAAAAAGGGAGGAAGATGTAAACGTTACTCCAAGGTAAACCTATTCATTAGAAACTGGAATCAACTCATTATTAAATTAAAAGGAATATTTTGGTTTCTGAAACACACCCTTAGAAAATTGCATAATTTTTGTTTTGGAGGTATTAACTGTTAAATAATTCAATGAAGTGTATTGCTCTAATATTTTAAGTTTTTTGGATACATCTACCTCGGAATGTGCAAACAGAACTAGATCGTCAGCGTAAAGTAATGCCAAAATATCATTTCTATCGTCAATGTTAACACCTTGAGCACCCTTTTCGTAGAAAAAAGATTCTGTCTGCTATAAATAATGCAAAAAGTAGTGGATTCACAGGCTCGCCTTGTAGCTCACCCGTATTTATATCAAATGTTTTAGTAATACCATTATTGCCTTTTACTCTAACTGTAGCATTTAAGTATACATTTTTAATTACATGAATAATTTTAGAAGATACTCCAAAGTTGAATAGTTTCGACCACAGTAATAGGTGATTAATTGAGTCGAAAGCCCTTTTAATATCAACAAATATAGCAAAAAGCTTTCTTTTTCGAAGCCTGATGTGCATTTGTATCAGAGAGCTCAAGGTGAAGAATATTGGTAAAAAATTTTGCAATGAATTAACCAATGCGATTCCTCTATAAAATTATTAACCTAAAATTAATCAAAATATGACTCAAAGTGCCTCCACTTGTCATATCACAAAATAGTGTTTATTTCGTCGCTACCTATTTCATATTCTATCTTCTCAATGTTTTCAACTTTCCAATCAAGCTATCAAACTGTAAAAATCAACATGAGAAAATTTTAATTGTGAATTTTATTAAAAATTAAGTTTAAATAAAACGACTTTAATAAATCGGAAGTATGTGTGCCAATTCAACGATTGTTAGCGAAAAACGTCTTAGGTAAAAAAAATACTATTATTTTAGAGGTTATGTTTGTTTATTTCCAAATTACGACTGTATAATTTATATTTTGTTTTTTGTTCCAGGGTCTACAGAATAGACATGTGTTTTATACCTAACTATGCATTGAGCAAATTTTTTTTGTGTTTTCAACAAAAGACAAAGTTTCAAAAAAGTAAGACAATTTTATTATATAATTTAAACAAGGATATTTTCTTGATCGTAGTACAAATTTTATATGAATAATTGTTTTATTTGGTAGGCTGTCCCTAATGAATTTGAAGTCTAGAAAAATGCCCCATCTATAAATGCTAGAGGTACTGATAAACAGTGTCAGACTGATGTAGTCCTGAGGATTTTATAAACTTACATTACAGTTTTTTAAAGACTATATAAAATATAAATATTGCACTGGCCTAAATTAATTCAAGAAACTTAAAGTTATGTCTACGTTAGGTATGTACCTATATCATAAAGACTAAATTAAATATTTACCGATATCTACCTGGGAGGTAAATTGAACTATCTCGACATAGCACAGTTTTATAAAGATTATATTTTTAAAATCGCCTCATCGATACCTTTTCAGGGGTATTGTATACCATGTATAGTGATGTCACAATATAAGTTGACTTAATAGAGGCATGTTGGAGGTATATGACACTATGTCATAGAAAATTTGTTATCAGAACATTGAAATATGTTACAAAAACCAACAATTCATATATATTAAAAAAAAATTTTTAATAGTTGGATTTTTAGTAAAAAATACATATTCCCAGGCAGCACACATTAGTATAACTAACGTATTTTATACGTAATACTCGTTTAATTTTGGTATTGGTTGATTCCGTATACGTTTACAGTTTACGATTATTATACATACCGTGTTTTAAACGATATATTATACGTTTTTTATATACATCCTATGGTATATAATTGTAAATTTGTCTACGTTTAAATATAGTTAACAATATACGACTATTTTTAGTTTGCGATGAACTATTTATATACAGTGGGCCTAAATATACGTTTAGGTTTATTTAAATTAAATTCATATAAATTTACATTATTATACAATTTGTTTTATTCGTTTATAATTCCCGTTTAAATTTCGTCTTGGTTGATTTTTTAAACGTTTACCATCTACCATTTTTATACTTAACGTTTTTTAACTGATAAATTAAACGCTTTTGTTTGTCGATACTAGTTAATATACCTATATTATTCTACGTTTAAATATAAGTCACCTTAAACGCATAATACCAGTTTACGATGAACTAGTAGACAGAAGTAAATAATATGTATATATTTAGGTTTATTTAAATTAAAAGCTTATAGATATATTTATTTACATTACATCCACATTTTTTTAATTATATTACCTGTAATATTTATAACAAATTCCCCATACACATGGAACTATTTTTAGATGGCGGATGGAGGACGACGTACTAGTGGTACGGTCTTTTCTCATTTCTACTCATGCGTATGTGTAGTATTATTGTTCAGCGTAGGGAATAGTTTGTGGGAGCAGGTTCATCGGTTCGTCCATTTTCATTTATGTACACATTTTGTGGCATGTTGGTTTGGCGTCCTAGCTTTTACGATATTGATTAAAAGCATAGGTAAGTTTCTATTAATGTTTTAATTTAGCTACTCCTTTAATAATTGTTGCATTTTACAACAACTACTGTTTTATAGGTACGTACAGTGTGTTAAATGATTATAGAAACTTCAAAACATAACCTTACTTTTGTTTCTTTTATTTTTATATGTATTTTTTAGGTTACCTAGTTATTCCAAGCATACTTATTTTCCTTCTGTTTGGTCAGTTGTTTTTTATTTAATAAAATGTCTAAAATAACTCTGTCTCTGCGTCATCTACGAAGAAAAATAGCGCAAAATGTTCAAGATGCTTTAAAGTCAAATCAATTTTTTTTTATTCCCAATGAAGATAACATTAATAAGGCTTCGGACATTAATATATCATCTGATTCTATTATTTATAATAATTTCCAAGAAAATAATACGAATTTAATTTCGGAGCTTTTAGAAAATATTTCACCTGAAATTGAGTTAGATTTTCGTTATAGGAATGGGGGTGGACCAAGCGACTTAACCGACCGAACGATTAGGTGTGCCATGCAAGATTAGCTTAAGTTAGCTAAGGCCCGTCCAAAGTCTCGCTAAGATTTTTATTTTCATATATATTTTTTGTTAGTTAAAGAAAAGTCTCGTTTAGTTTGTTATTCAGTATTTTAGTGTTTATTTTTTTGTATTTAT